CTTCTCCATACGTACTACCTACCAGGTACAGACTCCAATACAACCTAGATCGAGGAGAAGTGGAGCAGTGTCGTTGCTAGTTGCTTGGGGTGATTGGAGCCGTTAGGGCCTGTCTGGAGCCTCTGGAGGTGTCTTCGGGGCAACAAGTGTGGAGTCCGCCAATTACTGCACCCCAAATTCCTCGAGTCTGGTTGCTGAAGGAGCCCAACAGCCCCCGGATTGCAAATCACCATCCCGGCCACTGCTGGCCTGCCTGCGACAGCATCCCAGCTTCCGTTCCCCGGGTTTGTTATAGTCGGTGCTACCTTCTTTCGATCAGATCCCGCCGCAGAAGTCGACTTTTCTCTGGCGAACCGGTCCGCAAACTTTGTTGTTCCCTTTTTCCCTAATGCCACCGGCCGATTCGCAAGCTCTCAACAACAACAACAACAACAACAACAACAACAACAACAACAACAACAGCCTTTCGTCCGTCGACCTCGACTTTGCGCCCGCTGGCGGTGACACACACGGTCACCCGCCGCACTCCGACCCTGCCGCCTTCCAAACCCACCCTCTCGACAAGCTGGATACCTCCAATGACGCGCTGGGCAGCATCAATGCTGCCCACGACTTGGTCGATGGCCACTATGCCGATTTCCAGTTCCACTATGACGACGACCTAGATGGCTCGCCCATGACCGGCCTCGGCTCCGCTACTTTCGACGACCATGCCCCTGATGTGTTCTCGACAACTCCCCACGCACCGTCCATGGACTCGATCACGGTACAGACCTCGACCTACAACAACAATGGCGCTAACACCGGGAACGGCGGACAGCGGCAGCAGAGCATGGATATGTCCGAAAGTAATACCCCGGATAGCAATCAAAATGCCGGTAATTCGCTTGAGGAAACAGTGGATGAATTTGGCCTTGCGACTGCTAGCTCGGTTGATGGCTCGGCGCCAAAGGGCAAGGGGGACAAAACGGACAATACGCCCGCATGGAGCGAGCTCAAGACAAAAGCCGGAAAGGAACGAAAGCGTCTTCCACTGGCTTGTATAGCATGTCGACGCAAGAAGATCCGGTGTTCCGGCGAGAAACCCGCGTGCAAGCACTGTCTCCGATCGCGAATCCCGTGTGTCTACAAGGTCACGGCTCGCAAGGCCGCACCACGAACCGACTACATGGCTATGCTGGACAAGCGACTAAAGCGGATGGAGGAACGGATTATCAAGATCGTACCAAAATCTGAGCAGGAGGGTGCCTCTACCGTTACCAGGGCCGTGGTCAAGCCTGCCATCCCGGGGACATTGAACAACATGAAGCAAGCCAACAAGAAGCGCGGCGCTGACGAAGCATTCGGCTCGGACTTGGAAAATTGGGCTCGCGGGCCTTCAAAGACCAAGATTGACGCGCCAAACAGGACTGCTACGATCCACATCCAGGAGACCGAGGAAAGCAAGCTATTGCTGGAAGGCGGGGATGCGTTGCCATCCAAGGAAATACAAGAACACCTTGCCGAAGTATACTTTGAAAACATCTATGGGCAGGCCTACCACCTTCTTCACAAACCGAGCTTCATGAGGAAGCTGAAGTATGTCCCCCACACATCAGACGTCATAGTCCATATTGTCTAACAAGTCCGCTACTACAGGGCCGGCGCTTTACCCCCCGTCCTAATCCTCTCTGTCTGCGCCATTGCGGCACGTTTCTCGCATCATCCGAAACTGAACTCAAGTCCCAATTTCCTCCGCGGCGAAGAGTGGGCGGCCGCAGCCCGCGATATAGTGACAAAGAGATATGAATGGCCCAATATCACCATTCTCACATGTCTGCTCATATTAGGTTTACACGAGTTTGGCACATGTCATGGTGGCCGTAGCTGGTCATTGGGTGGCCAGGCCATCCGTATGGCCTTTGCACTGCAGCTTCACAAAGACCTGGAGCACGATCCCGTACGACAAGCAGGGAACACACAACTCAGCTTCATCGATCGCGAGATCCGAAGGAGGACCATGTGGGCATGTTTTCTCATGGATCGCTTCAACTCTTCAGGCACAGACCGGCCCACGTTCATAAGGGAGGAGACGTTACGGGTCCCGCTGCCTATCAAGGAAAAGAACTTCCAGTACGACATGCCAGGTCCAACAGAAACCCTGAGTGGCGAGGTGCTGGGACCACTTTTAGAAGACCAAGATGCTTCAATGGCCAGAGATAACCTGGGTGTTGCGGCCTGGATGATCAAGGCAATCTCTCTCTGGGGCAGAATTATCAACTATCTCAACCAAGGAGGCAGAGAGCTGGATCCTCATCCTATGTGGAGTCCCGAATCCGGTTACGCTAAACTCATTAAACAGACAGAGGATATTCTGACCGATTTGCCCGACTCTTTACTATACACACCCGACAATCTACACCTGCACGAAACTGACAACATGGCCAACCAATTTCTGTTTCTTCACATCGCGATTCAACAGAATATCCTGTTCATGAACAGGTTTGCTGTTTCGTCCCCTCGGGGTCAACCAGACCAGGAAATCCCCAAGGCTTTTGTGACGAAAGCAGGCGCCAAAGCATTCGCTGCTGCTAACAGGGTATCGGAGCTGTTGAAGGATGCTGAATCACACTTTGTAACTGCTCCCTTTACAGGATATTGTGCCTTCCTGTCCAGTACCGTGCACATATTTGGAATTTTTTCGGGTAACCCAACGCTAGAGGCAACATCGAAGCGCAACCTGGCCACCAACGTCAAGTTCCTATCCAAGATGAAGAAGTACTGGGGCATGTTCCACTGGATGTCAGAGAACCTACGGGAGCAGTACCGGACCTGTGCCGATGCTGCCAGGCAGGGTACACCCGCAAACGAGAACCCGACATCCATCTTCCAATACGGCGACTGGTTTGACCGTTATCCCCACGGTGTCTCGCAGTCCGACTTTCTCGACCCCGCCATCTACAAGAAGAAGGAGAAAGGCGACGATGCAGTTCTGGAACAGAAGCCCGAGCTGCATACAGTCGAGGAGTTCTTCACCACGCTCTCCCCACAAGCCGGCGGTGGGGACGGGGGTAGCGTGAACGGGTCAACAACATCACGACAGCAGCAACAAGCCCAACAACAACAACAACTCAAACGCAAAGCCATGACACGCAAAATCAGCGGCCTACCACAGCAGAACCATCCCAACGGCCCCGACCCCATACAAGCCGACTTCTCCCCACATCAACAACACCACCCTCCACCAACCGCCGAACAAATTCATGCCGCCCGCCTGCAACACCAACGCAACTTCTCCGGCGCCGGCCCCTCACCCATCCAAACCAGCGGTCCACCCGGTTCTTTCAACTCCCTCTCCGTCCAAGCTCAACAACAAGCGCACTTCTCCCCCGTCTCCCCCGTCGGTGTCTCCCACGCCCACCTTTCCCACCACCACCCTGGCTCCTTCTTCCCTCCCGACCCCTTCTCCCTCCCCGCCCACCTCGGCGCCGCTCACGCCCACGGCATGAGCCACCTGGACCGACAGCTCGTCTTTGGCGCCTACGGCGGTCCCACATCTGCCGGCTTACACCATGAGCCAGGGCTGGTAGGCGGCGGCGGCGGCGGCGGCGGCAGTGGTGGTGGTGCTGGGGGGTGGGGAGGGGGGCATGATAGTGAGAATGGGAGGGACGGGCCAGACGGGTTGCATGCAGCGTTCTCGAACGAGCCGAGCTCGGCGTGGTTTATGCCGTTTAATATGGAGCCGCCGGAGATTGGGGGGGATACGCTGGGCGGTCTTGGAGGAGCATTGGGCGGTGGAGGGTTGGATAGTTTTGCGGGGATGTTTGGGGTGGGTGCTGGCGGAGGTGGTGGCAGTGGTGGTGGGGGAATGGGAGGGATGCATCATGGGCATTAAGTGGGGGAAAGCGATTTCCTTTTTCTAGAAAGGATGATGAGTTATGAGTGATACAGGAAGGAAGGATGGACCGGGCGAATTTTTGGATAACGGCCAATTTCTTTTTTTGGATATCCGGGACGAACAACAACGATCGATGCCACTGGTAGTGTGATGTATACATGATACCTTTTTCTATCATAATTAGTTTCTTTGTTTTTTACGTCGGGTGTTTCAACAGACGTAGGCGGGCGGGAAAGAGAGAGAGAGAGAGAGCAAAGCAAGCGATCATAGAAGAGCGAGCTGATCGGTCTCTTTTTGTCTTATCTTTCTTTTTTTTTTTTTTAACTACATAACTATCTTTTCCACATGGGGGTGTCGGAAGGTCAATTCGGGGGGAAAGGGTATGGGGGGTTCGGGGGCATAGGGGTACGATGGGCGGGCGGGCGTATCAGGATTAGGTAATACCATAAAGACAGAAGAACAGAACAGACGTTCGTTGATATGAATACTGCTCTTTGAACAAACAGCCCTTGAGTAAATATGGTATGTATCATGAAAAAGAAATTCACCTTTTTGCCCATTACCATTCTAGGTAGTCGTCTGACGTGGATGGATTTCAATTGTTAAATCATTACTGACTATCTTCTGACATCGAACCTGTTTCGTGAGTCCAGCATAGCGCCTAAAAGAGGATGGAGGAAAACCAATAAAGCGGAAAGAAAGAAAGGAAAAAAGTAAGTGGGAGAAGAAGATAGAATGCAAGAAGTGGAAACAAAACAAGCAAACTGCTATTCGGAATTTTTCTTTTTTTTCTGATACACGACTAACTCCCATCTCTCGGAGAGAGAGGGAGAGCGAGAGAGACAAAACAAGAAAAAAAAAAAAAAAAAGAAGAACAAGAACAACACTATAGAATGGCTTATGACAACCGCATATAAGTAAACCATCATCACTTGAACAAAGGTTTATAAGTTCAGACGATGTAAAAAAGACCCCAATCTATAGAGATACGAAACGAACAAGAAACGAACGAATGAACGGGAAAAGACCATAAAGTGACGGAGAGAGTGAGCAAAGACGTCAAGGCAACAAACTCAAAGACAGCAAGCCAAACAGACAATCCAAAGATTTGTAAACACATGGATGCCGCTTATAGAATAGTAACTAGTATGATAAGACACTATCATAATCCATAAAGCCTCTATGGTACCCATTATGAACGCCGCCGAGATGCCCTTTCTTGAATTGATTGAACTTTCCCTTCCAAAATTCGACACTTCTTCTCCGCTCTTCGCCTTCTTCCGTTATGGAGTTTGCCGAGCCTTGACATCGGGAACACACCGTGTGATATATACGTTTAGATCCTCCCATGCCCTCATTCATACAAAACGAAGGGGTATTTCCACCTTGTTGTCTCCATTCATCCCATTACCGACCCATACGTTCTTTCATCCGACCTTTCCATTCATTCCTCTCTAAATTTCTTCCGTCCCTCCTCCCCATTCGCATCTTCTGTTTCAGGTGATATATCCCATACACGGGACTAATCGCCCTTGTAGATCCTTCAAATCTGTCTAGTAGATACCCTGTGTTCTATACTGGAAAGTGTCGTAACTGTTTCACGCCTTTTGTTAGCATCCCATTTCACTCGGATCAGCAATTGTCCTGAACAACTTACAGTCGCGTATAATAACTTCCCAACGACTTGGCAATTAGATCTGTCTCCACAAATTGTTCCGCCTCGTCTTTGCTCAGCTGCAGCTGGAACCTTGCCCTGAGCGAGGTCGTTACCTGCGAGATGCCCGCGCCGAAGCAAGGCATCTTGGATTCTCGACCCATCATGGCCACGAGGTCGATGATGTTGTCTGCTGAACGACGGAGTGCTATAACAGTCGTTAGTTATCTATGCCTGGTACGATTGATGAGAGAGAGAGAAACTCACCCTGGAAAGCCTGTTTGCAGAGTTGCTTAAAGTCTGCAAAATCCTGCGAGTCCACGCCACCCAGCACATCCAGATATTCATATGTAAACTTGAACGGCGCCGCCTCGAACCCAACCGAACCGGGCGAGTTTGACAGCATGAAGCCAAAGTCAATGTGAATGATGTGCCCCTCATTATCGATAAGGACGTTACCGTTGTGCCTATCCTTCAGCTGAAGCACATATGAGATGATGCTATACGCCGCCAGCGACCTCTTGAACGCGTCCACAGCCGACCTGTACGCCTGGCTCTCAGGCAAACCGAACGCCTTGACGAAATGGTCCTTGAGCGTCGCGATCCTCCTCCTAGGGTTTTGACCGGACTCGACCGTAGCCAGTGTCAGGCTGCGCTTGATCGAGTGCAGAGATACGCCGTTGGCAATGGTCTCTATCAGACCGCATGATTCGCCCGTAACGAGAATGCGCATGAGCTTCACCCAGACGGGCACGTTGTGCTCTACCCAGATCTTGTGGCACACGCGGATCAGCTGGCAGGCAAATGCCTCCTGACGGAGATCCGCACCCGTTTTCACGATGACGCTAACCAGATCCCAGTTCTTCATCCAGCCGTAGGGAGAAGACTTGCGGATACGCTCCTTCTTCATCTCCCAAGCTTCTCCAAAGACGGCAGCGCTGGGATCATCACGATCGCCCTTACGCTGGAGACCGCCTGTCTTGATATCGTTCTCCATCCTTGCTAGACCGGCGTTCGGATTCACGTTAGACTCGACCTTCTCCAGGGGAGCCTCGATTTCTTCGTCCGTGGCGACATTGCCGTTGATAACGTTTTCTGCACTGGCCTTGGCCATAATCATGTCAAAGGTCGGCCCTTGGCTATCATGGACTTCAAAACTCTCCTCTTCCAGACTCTGCATGCTGGCAATAATCTTTGCCCTGATTGCGGCCACTTCATGACGCGGCCGCTTGCCACTTGTTGCATCCAACTGCGCCAACATTTGCGAGGCTGTCCGCATATGGATGGCAAGGGCAGAAAAATCAGGTTGGTCGGCCGCGTTGTTGCGCGGACTTTGGAGGGTCATCCTCCTGAAAGGTGGGGTAGAGGATCCCGAAGTGCCAGAACTGCGAGGCGTTGACGTCAGGTCAACGAATTGTGTCGAGCTGGTCCCAGTAGTGGCAGCATGACGGAGACCGCCAGGAACGGGGTTATGCTGTATGGCAAAGGGCTCGTCGTTGAACGGTTTTATTAGTGGCGAGTGCCCTAGATCCCCCGAGGAAGGCTCAAAAACACTATCGATGACGGGCTCCTGAGAACGGGGCGTGGCTGGTATCCTAGAAGACTCGGAAAGGTCAAAAATCCGCCTCCTGGTTCCTTGTTCGGCCAAAAGCTGTGTCAGAAGTCTCTGGTTATCTTGAGAATCCGGGTCAAATGTGAGATCTTCCCTCAAAATCTCAACCATAAGCAGGAACGGCACTTTCTCAGCACTGTTCAGTACCGTGGCCTCAGCCGGATTGAGACGGACTATCCTGTGATGTCGGCTTTGCGAAGGAGAGCCGTTGACCAAAGTAGGAGGGCAGATGACTGGGATATCGACCTCGGCCGGGAGTTCTTGAGCGATTAAAGCCAGCTCAGCGCGTAGGGCACTTAGGCGTGCAGCCTTTGGTACTATTACCAGTCGATTTGAAATATCCTCCAGTGCGGTCAGGAATGCCGTTTGGCAGTGGAAGTAGTTTTGTTTTAGTAGCCGCATTTTTTGTGTGCGGCTCATGTCCGCTTGGTTCAAGAGCGTCTTGACATGGTGGGAGTGCCTCCTGTTCACTCCAGTCGTTGGCCGCAGGGCCGGAGTGGTCGGCCTGTGTACAAGACCTGGAGAATTGGCATTCGACGTTGGTAGAGGCAGCGAAGATGAACTAAGGCGTGCCTCCAAGACGTTGGAATCGAAAGGAGTAGGTCGCTTAGACTCTACCGGCGTTTTGATAGAAGACCCCGAAGACGTCGGCCGGGAGTCAGGCTGAGGTTCCTTGATCTTGGGCTTGGGGCGATGCGCCACCGGGCTGTTGCTCTGGAGCTGATGGTCCGACGAGCTTGTCAGGCGGGCCTCCTTTGCCCGTCTCGATTTTGTTGTACCAGCAGTGACGGTGTGCGCGCGAGTAGGTGGGGCGGCGTTGACGGGAGTAGCGTCCGACACAGGTTCGATGACTTGAGGGCGGGGCTTTCTGGCTTGCGCGACGGCCAGCGGGCCAGCCCAATGGGGGAGAAACGGGGCGGCGATACTGGCGAGAACGAAGCTCCCTAGGACAGTCACCGGCAAAGCGTTTTCCGTAATCTTCTCGTTCCTTGCACTGTCGGAGACGCCAAAGACAATATGCTGCACCTTGTTGTACACTCTCTGGCATGTTTTGAAGGCATTGGCCTGTGGATTAGAGGATAGGTCGTGTAGGTATGTTTGGAAGAGCCAGAAAGTCTGCGAGCGGGCGAGATATCAGCAATTCGTAGTCGTGTAAAGCGTCAGATGGTGTATAGAGGGCTGCGCACCAACAAGGCTGCTGTGACCGACTCCTCGCATAGATCGAGGAGAAACTCCTCCAGGGCCATGGACTCATTGTCGATGCTGATGATAAGGTGACATAGCTGAGGGAGGAAGAACTCGATGTCCTCGTAGGGGAACTGGCGCAGCTTGCTGCACAGCACATAGTGAATTCCTATGTGGTCGGCATATCGTCTGGCGGTGCGGTCATGTTAGTGTGTGTCTTGCTAGGCCAGTACTGATACGCGCCGCGCCGAGTGAGGAGGAGAGAAAGAGGAGGAGGAGGAGGAGGGGGGGTAGCGAATCTTGGCAAAACGGAATGGCTGACTGACGAGAGGTAGGAGACGGAGAGAAAGGGGTTTTGGTTGAAGACGTCGCTCTCGAGGAACCGCTTTAACAAGTCCCAAGACATTGGTTATGGCGCAACGAGGGTCGACCGCAGATCGACTCGGAGATTATGGGAGGAAAGAGTCGATGTCTGGCAAGGCTGAAGTGGTGAAGCGAGGCGTAGGCGTGTTAGGCGTAGGCGTAGGTGGGAGAATCGAACAGCTAGGTACACTCAGTCTAGACGGAAGCTAACTGGGAACTGGAGCTGGCTGGCTGGAGAATGGACGGATACAGAGGGCAGCAAGGCATGCATGCGCAGCAATGCCTTCATCGGACTTGAACATGAACGGAGTCGACGGCGTAGGGCTGCTGGGGCATGGCTGACGGGGCCGGGCGCGCTTAGGTCGTTACTCGTTATGTTGTTGACAAGTGAGACTGAAGTGTGGTGGTGGTGGTAGAGGTAGTAGTTAGGTATTCCCAAGAAGGACACCAAAACCACTTCCTCTCGCCAGGGTGGGTGGTGTCAAGTGGTGTTCCGAAGGTGGAGGTTGGCCGTCACTGCTGTCAGGGGGGGCCGCAGTCCACTGAAGGGAATCCAATTGTTAGGTCGATACAACAACACACCCGCACGTAACGGCACATTGAACTGGACGGGATCCGCTAAGCCCGATGGAGCCCCGCGTCCCGTTCCCCACCTGGCCGACTTGTCCGCCTCGGCTGCAGTGTGTCCGTCCACAGCGCCCTCCTTTGCCCTGCTACAGGCACTTGGCGTCTGCCAACGACCGCTGAAACAGTCGTCTTGGCGGTTGGGATTCCCATCAACATGACTGGCAGCAAGTTCAACTTTGACACCCCAAATCACATCAATGGTCCATCTCGTATTGGGGATTCATGGAAGTGAACACGAAGATCTAACCCACCGGCATGTTGATCAGACACTTAGTTCCACCGGTCAAAAGTAGATCGATCCCAGGGCGCTTGCGCCATCCGAAAAAGGGGCTCTGCTCCAAGGGAAAAAAATATAAAAAAAAAGGGGTAAAAGGACACAGACTCCATCCAAAGTAAACAAATCCCCTTTTATCTTGTTCCTGAAACAAAGACGCGAATCATTGATCTACTATTCTACGTTATATCTTCTCTACATCGACAAGTGCACACGCCCTATCACCTCCACACAACAGTCGTCCCTCCTCCTCCTCCTCTCCCCCCTCCCCTCCCCCCATTCCTCCTCCCTCTCGCACCACTCCTACCTCCCCTCGGCCTCACCCTCTTATACTTGACCCTCTCACTCCCATCCGGCAACACCACCACCTCGTGCTGTATAGAGAACCCAAACGCCGGCAACGCCTTGGCCCAAACCACCCAATACACCACGCCGATAACCAGCATGCCCGTCCCCAGCGCCGGCACCACCGAAAAGTGAACCTTGGTCAGCAGCTGGTTCGGGATAAACGGCGCCGCACAGGTATACAGCAGCCCGACTACCCAAAACACCGTCAGGACGGGATAACTATGGAACCGCTTGTTCTCCGGCGTCGTCCAGTTCTCGCTCGGCGTAAAGTTGAGATACAACAGCCCCACCCCAAGGAAGACCTTGATCCAGTTGCCCGAGTGGGTAAAAATGTTTGACAGAAACTGGTACACGTCCTTGGTGCTGGATCCGAGGATCAAGGCCACGGTGAAGATCCAATGCAACAGAATGGCGCCCGTCGGCGACTTTTGCTCGGGCCAGTCGCTCGCCCAGAAGCGCGAGAAGGGGAGAGTGCCTTCCTTTGCGAGCTCCTGCTTCACGCGGGGCATGGCGAAGGATTGCGCAAAGACGTTGCCGAGCGCGGAGAGGGCGAGGAAGAGAGGCATGACGCGCTTGGTGAAGGCCGAGGGACCCCAGACGCGGGTGAAGAAGATGGCGGTGGGGACGACGCCGGATTTGGAGAGTTCGTCTTTGGTCATGGCAGCGAACTGTGTGTTGTCAGTCATGGAAGATCTCGTGAGATACTTGAGAAGATACTCACATAGGCAATGTTCGCAAGGACATAGAGGACGGTGACTGTCCCGATGGCAATCGGCGCCGCCAGTCTCAACGTCTTCGGCGCATCCCTCACTTCGCTCAACACCTACAAACCCGTTGTTAGCATTACCTCACCAAACCATTACCTCTTGCTTCCGAGGGGTCACTCACATAATTGGCATTCTCCCACCCCCCATAACTATACAAAACCTGCAACAACGCCAACGCATACCCTGCCGCACTGCCCGCGACATTATTCCCCATCCCGTCCGTCTGATCGTCTCCATTCCCCGTGGCATCCCCCGGCCCATCAAAGCTCGAAAAGTTTCTCGGGCTTTCTCCCTCCATATTCCCCGCTAACGCCGCAAACCCCGTACATACCACCAAAATCAACAGCACCAGCTTGAACACCCCCAAACCATTGGACAGCCAAATGCCCAACCTAGGTAAGAATGCGTGGATGAGGCAGACGGCGGTAATAGCTGCCACGGCGATGCCCCGATTTAGCCACGTGCCTTCGTATTTGGTTGCATCTTCTTGCGCAGTGCCTCCGGTGGTGGTGGTGTCAGGAGAGCCGAGGACGCAGCGAAGGAGGTACGAGGAAAAAGAAACGGAGCCGACGGTGGAGATGGCAAAGAGGATGAATTGCACGGCGAAGATGCATGTTGCTAGGTATTTGGGTTTGCGGTAGACGCGTTCGAGGTAAACTTTCTCTCCGCCGGAACGAGGGATGGCGGTGCCGAATTCTAGGTAGACGGCTAGCCCGCTTTGTGGTTGAGGATATGAGTTAGCAGCTTTCAAGTGGTTAAAGTGAGAGTACATAGGTAGGGTGTAGGGCAAGCTAAGTATGGGTGATACGAAACTCACCAAAAGGTCATCACACCACCTAACACCCAGAAGAGAAGCGTGGCGCCGACGCTGTTAGTGTAGTGGATGATGGAGGATGGCGTTGAGAAGATGCCGGCGCCGACGACGCGGTTGAAGATGAGGAAAGCTGTGGACCATGTTCCTAGTTTTCGCTCTGGGATTGGGTGTTAATGGAAAGCGAAGAAACGTGGAGAGAGGGAGAGCCTTGAAAAGAGAGGTGAAGAGAAGGGTGAAGAGAGAGAGAATAAAGAAACAGGTTGAAAAAAAGTTGAAGAGAGGCTGCAAAGAAGTTGAAGAGAGACGGAAGAGAGACGGAAGATCCGGCAGAGCCTAGAAGGGGTTTAACTAACCTTCAGGAAACACATAATCCCTAAAATCATCCTCCTCCTCTCCCTCCTCACCAACCCGCGACGGGCCCCTCCCATTCGCCCCATACTCGGGCATATAAATGGCATCCTCGCCCACCTCCGGATCCTTATCCTTCGAGTGGATGGGTTGTTCGAATATCGTTGGTTCGTTCATCTTGTCTCGACTGACTTTAGAGATAGTCCCGCGGTCTTAGTTCCAGTTGATAACGGGGGGAACCCCACGGGATGTCCAAATCGATGACCGAAACCGAGCTGAGTGATGATGCGGCTGAACACAGCGAGCCCAAAAGGCACCACAACCGTAGCGCTTGTGGGGGGTTGTGTATGCAGTCCACTCCAGTCCAGTCCAGCCCAGTCTAGTTCGGCTGAGTTATGGGCGTTGGATGCTCTTCTTCGATTGTTGGTTGACGAGTAACTTGTATAAGGTGGGTTTTTCCAGAATACCTGATTTCAGAGTATCTTCACAAAGCCCGAGGGACGAAAGAAGGATAGTTATCCAGGTCTCAGCCCATGGACCTCAACCAAGAAATTCAGTGAGCCTAAAGGGAAGAAAGACAACTGCGTGAGGCGTGACTTGACAAGTTCAGGTCAACGTGCGTTAAAAGGTTTAGGTCTCACAACCTCAGACAGACCACCTTGATACACGTTCGTTGTGTAGCCCACGGTCAACGCATCGAGTAATGGGCGTCTAGTCTAGATCTTGGTGGATGGGGTTAATGAAGACGCTCAAGGAGTGACGGTTGTAAGGGGGGGTGGGTAACACATGCCACATAGATCTATCTCACTCGAGGATTGAGGATGGCAGAGATGGGTAAACGAAGTATTCTTACCTTTACCAATTTTGCCTTCAATACCTTCTTGTGCTCTTGTTTGTCTATAAACCTGCACTCTTTCAAGTCGCACTCACTTAGATCATTCAGTGGATAACTGCAGCTCAGAGCCTTGTTGATGTCACCTACACCGTCATCACACAGCGGTAGCAGTGTTGTTCATTGGCGGTTGGTTAGCGAGCGAGGCAGACACAACGCCGCATGAGATCAGGCCAAAAGAAGCATGGGAGTTGCAAAGGAAGAAAATAAAGAACAAAGCCTTCCTCGTGGCTAGGGGGCGCGTCTGGCTAGTGTAGTGTAGTGTAATGTAGAGGATTGCCATCGCCGATAACTCACAGCACAGCTTTCCCGCCCCATCGCCCTATCCAGTCGCCCTGCCACCGACCGTCGTTATCACAGCGCCAAGTCCCTCCAGTCGCCGAAAGAAGACAAAAGAGGCGTGCAGGACGATGCCCTGGCTCTGCAGTTTGTAAAGTGTGTGTGTGTGTGTGTGTGTGTGGTGTGGGAGCTGAGAGAGGGGACCCTGCTAGGAGGTAGGTAGTGTGGTAGCCGGGCTGGTATCGTTCGTGGTGGTAGCCAAGACACTACCTTTCTGTACCTTACCCGAATGGCTGCGTTACAGACAACGAAGCCTTCATGGTTGCAATCTGGGGTTTCTCAGCGGAAACACTGCGCTGTGCTCGTCCACTGGTTTTCGTCGGCGTTGTGCTTGACAGTGAGTTAGCGACACCATCAGGCAGTAGTATAGTGTAAGGAACACCACAGCTCCGAGTTTGTACCTTCACTACCCGAGGGATCAGGAGCATCGTCAGCCCCCCCCAAAAGCTTCGCCCCAGAAAAACCCCCCATCTTTCCCACAGGACCACAGTGAGTGATACATCACCTTCCCCAATTAAGCCTAGAGCCCAGATCTTGGCGAGGTGAGGAATGCAGGTCATGGGTAGCTTATTTTTCCGCTTGCTGCATGATTCCAATAAATCACTCTCCTAATCGGGTAACCATCGCTAAGCCAGAATGTCCCGAGGTTCCCATTCGTGCGGCCGTTCTGGTTAGGCACGAGTCGTGTGAGAAAAAGCGAACATTGAACGTAGTCATCAGTCTCTTCTCTCGGCCGCGATAGTAGGGTACAGAACTCATTATCCGTGGTTAGGTATCATAACAAGTAAACACACACTCGTATCCTCCAGTCCAGGTATCTCGCAACACGTACACATGACAGGAAAAAGAAATACACCTGTAGCCCGATCCGATCCAGTCCTAACTCCCCGCTTACCGAAACCCCCTCGGCTGAGAGCAAGGGATAAAGCCACCAAAAGAGATCTTTACCAGACGATTATATCCCAACCTGTTCTCCAAATCTGTCTTGACAACGAGCTATCCCTAGAGCTCACAAATAGCTGCGTGTTGGTATCACATCCGAATCTGCATAGCCGTCTTACCATATAACCCTCCCTCCGCTCTCAACTTCTCCTGAATTTTCTCTAATTCTCTTTTCTGCTGTCGGCGGTTGGCAATGACTTCGCCCCATCTCCTGATGAAGCTGTCTTGGCCTTGAATTACCACCATTGTTGTCAACAAATTTCTTTATCAAGAACGAAAGGGATGGGGAGAACTTACTTGGTGGATTCTCAAACTCAATCTCAAACATCTTGTAGAGATCATAACTGTATTCCTCGTCTGGGTTGGGTGGTTGGCCGTCGATATTGAATCCGGCCATTTCCGAGTCGCCTCTTTGCTCGATGTGTGCTGTGTGATTTATAATCCATTAGTTACCTCACCCATCAAGCCACGGAAATAGCTGAGAGAGCGTATATGAGCATGTGAGAGAAAAAGAAAAAAAGAAAAAGAGACAAACCTTTAATTCCCTTCCACCTGCTCCCTTCTCTACTAAAGACCCCCGCCTTCCTCGGCCTCAGTTTAACCTTTGTCTGTCCCTCCGCCTTCACCTCAATATCATCCGTGATAAAAGTCTGCACGTACTCTCCCAGCCGTCCCAAGTACACAATCAACTTGCTGGAACTAGCAACCTGCTTATCGCGAAGCGGTCCCGACAAGGCCGTACCAGCAGTCACAAAACTCGCCTTATCCGATTGCATCCCCCTTCTTCGGCTTGTGGAATCTGGATCCTCATGCCAGATTTGCAGACGCACGCTCGAGTAAGTGTCGTTTGCACCGTTGTTCGCTTTGCTCAGGCGAATCAGTTTGACGTTGCTGATGTCCAGCAGCACCTTTTCGCCGGTGAGTTGGGCCTGGAAATTGCAGAGGTTCTCGAGACGGGGAAACTGGTAGATGCCGTTGGGGTGGCCGTTTCCTGTGCCTCCGGGAATGGGGGAGGACCGCAAGTAGCCTGGGTTGCCCTTCTCGGTTTCTTTGTCGTGGAGGCAGATGACGTTGAGGAAGCGGGGGTCGTAGGCGTAGACGGGGATTAGTTGGGCGTTTCTTGCTTTGACTATTACAGGGGTTAGCTCATATGTTTTGATATATGGCATGAAAGGTGAAAACCTACTCCAGAATGTCTCGGAATATGTGCCAACTCTGCAATGAAACCTCAGATCTTTTGTGGTCGTATTGCGGAAAATCTTGAGCTCTCCATCTTCGAATGCCGAGGACGCAAGTGTGGGTGCACTTTTGACTGGCCTTTTCGAGGTCTTCGTTAGCAGCAATCCCTCGAAAGCGGACACCAGACAAGACGAACCCATCGAACAAAATATCCTCCCCGGGCAATACGTGATCTCGGCCTGTGCTCCTACTATCGCTCGAAAAAGAAGAATCATGTCGTTCCGGAACCACAACAATTGCGGTCCGGGTGTCAATTTGGTTAGTTGAAGTCCCAATGTTGACCAAGTTATTCTGAGCAGCTCCAACAAACACTCCGCTCCCACTACCTCCCCTTCCGCGGTCATGGTGTGGGGAGGACGGCGCGTGGACTACTGAGTGAGGTGAGCTCGAATAGACATATGCACCATCAGAATCGACAAACTCTTTCTCGTAATCAGGCGCCAAGACGGGTGACGTAGGCGAGTACGGCATCGAAGAGTGCCTGATCGGAGACGTTGGTGACGCGGGATACTGAGGATACGAGAATTCCATCAAGGACTCAAGGACTGGTCCCGTAGGCGGTGCCTGTCGACGAGGTCCTTGGGAAGAAGCAAAGTTCGCCCCTGTCACAAACCCGCCGTAGTTGATACCGTCGACTTGATGGCCTCCAGTATGAATGGTCTGAGCAGGCGTGCTCATGCCGGCCGTTAGAGTTGATGTACCCATATATGTGGACTGATTATGGGAGTGATGAGATTCAAGGCGATGTTGGTTGGGAGCGGTTCGGGGAGAGACAGGCCTGTTGTCGACAGGACTTTCAGGAATCCATGGATCCGTGTCACGTTCCGTGAGAACCTCGGCAAGTCCAACGCCCCCGTCAGACTCTCCAAAGTATGGCGCCGCACCGTTGAAGTGATTGTTGATGTTGAGGTGGGACATCATGTTGGTCACGTCCTGAGTGATAGCGGGCGGAGGTCCGACGACTAGATCCAAGGCGGCAGGGGACACGTTATAGCGCTCACTGTGCGCTGTCCGGAAACTGGACGCCTGTGATCGCGAACTCGCGTTCGACATCTGTCGTCCCATGGGAGAGGCATTGTTGTGGCCGTGTAACTCATGCGGCGACTGTGGGCTCGTAACTGGCTGTATGCTACTTGGAGCAGTCGACTTGGTCGGAGAAGCGGTTGGCGTATCCGACTCAGGTATGCTCTGGAAGAGGTACCGACGACCATCCGAGGCGATGAAGATGCCTCGATTCGCAAACTGAACTGTTGAATCGACCGTGGCTAGATCGAAGTTGTCGAACAAGGACGAGAAGGGGACAGAGGCCTCATCGGGAAGAGGAGGAAGGCTGGCAGGTGGTGGACAGCCTTGGGTGGACATCCTAAACCTGAACAGGTGCCGTTCGGGTCGATCGACTCAACCGGCCACCATGACGATGTGTTATCGAGGAGGAGTTAGATGGCCAGTGGGCAACCTCGCGAGGCACATGTTAGGTACACGGTGTATCCAATGTGTCCTTAAAAGAAGTCGCCCGCCGGGTTAGTGGTAACAGTGACGGATGTAAAGGCAAGGCCCGATGGGTAGGACAGAGATAAGAAGGAAAGGAAGCTGCCGGAACCAGGGGCATATGGAACGCGGGGTGAGCGATTGAGATTAGTGTAAAGGTTAGTGTAGGTTAGCTGACCTATTGGATCCAATCTCTTGATCTGACTGACATTCAGATGCAACAATCCACCAGGACGTCGCCCGGTCGTGTGCCTGTGGTTTTACAGCTTGTTCTTTTCTTAGCTTTTTGTTCTCACCTCGCTTCTTGACTATTTAGCCATCGTCGATGTCGAAGACACTTTGCCGAACAAAGCGCAGAGTGGCTCGAGTTTCACCATGTTGATAGCCCATGGTGTAGGCAAACGTGTCAACGGATGTGGCTAGCAAGAGAACATCCCGTCTGACTGGAATGAAGGAGGTACGGTATTCTGAGTATAGTGATGCACATGTATGTATGTTGGAGGATTCGTAATCATGGTAGACGGAAAATAATATTGTTCTAGGCTCCCCTGGGTTTGCGGATGACAGTCGTGACATGGCGACGTTATTCGAGTTACCTTAGCTACGCCACGCTTCAAGTTTTCCTTCATCATATTATCCACTAGATATCGAACATCCTGGAACACATCATCGAGAGCTATCGCATGCTGGGATCACTACACCTTTTAGGGCTTGAAGGCGCTTCGCACAGAGCCATGTTCTCGATAGTCAATGGATTCGCCCTTTGCACCTTCTGTTGGCTTTCTCAAGTTGGGCTGCGCCGCGTGACTGTGCCTTTGAGCTGTAGGTCAGCTGAAAACGCTGTCGTGTCACAGTGGCTTGTGACGTGCCGGGAGGCAATATTATTGCCCTAGGGGAACGTCATGGGTTAACGCGTGAACCTGTTTCGGCGGAGACAAGGCTTGCACGAAGCCTTGTGAATGAGCTTTGATTTTAATGCCTCCCCCGGGAAATAAATTAGAGTAAATTCAACGCGTGTTGGTCGCAAAGCAGAGTATCCTTCCACTGCCCAACACCAGCAACACCATGCTGGCCACCCAACTAACTCAAACAAACCAGTCCAGTTCACCCAAACACCGAAGCCTCGGCTGACCAACCAAACCGAACACCATGCCATGCCAATCTGATAACGGGACTTCTGCACATGGGTTATGACTTGTTCTTTGCAGGAGTTGACATTTTCCAGCCACTTGCTTCCATGTTGAGAACGCCAAAAAAAACATATGCTCATTTGTGACCCAGTTTACCGAAACGCCATCGTTCCATTCGTTCAATCGTGTTTTGGCCTAAACCTCGAGCATAATAACTTGGCTCTTCTGTGATTCATGGCTTTCTAGGCGGTAGACTTCTTCCTTCCCCTCCCTCCTCCTCGCCCGGCTCCTCCTCTGCCTTTCTTTTCTGGCGGGGCTTCTTCCTCGCTCTCGCTCTCTGCCTTTGTTCGGCCTCTGCCGCTCGCGGAGGCTGCTGGCTTCTCCTTGTCATCGTTCTCTATCTTGCTGGTAATTTCTCGTAGGAAATCCCACTGGTCGTCTGACTCCACCACCTGCTTGAGCATCTGTGCCGATACGCGTTTCGAGTTACGCTCACGCGCGATGTCTGCGCTTTTTGTCACCAATTGTACCATGAACAGCTCGAGTGCCTTGCCCACTGCGATCGGCGTCTGTTGTGCCACCTTGCCAACCTCTTCGTCTGCCTGCATGATGCGCTTAATGCGCGCCGTTGGGAACTTGGTCTTTACGAGCGAGGGCTGGATCGGAGAAGGTTGGGGTTGCTGCGCAGCTTGCGCGACGGCCCGCTTGGGTGGCATCGTATTGGTGGTCTGCGCCGCTACGGATGACGCAGCTTGAATATTGGTCTGTTCGGGGGCCGGTGGCGGGTTGGGATTGGAAGTATGCGAAGGAAGAGGCTGGAGGGGCCGTTGCGCCTGCGATCGCGTCAAGCGCTGCTGCTGTTGATGCTCCTGCGGTTGCGTAGGTGAGAACAGCTGCGGATAAGCCTGTTGTTGTAGAGGTTGCTGCGGTTGCTGCTGGTTGTATTTGTACTGGTGTTGATTCTGCAATTGATGCAGATCACGTTGCGAAGCTTGCTGTTGCGCGTTCCAAACCCCTGTCGCGTGGTTATTTGTGAAGGGGATGCGAGGCGGGCGCTCGGATTGCTGCGGCTGCGAATAGTGGTTCGTCGAGAAGCTGTTGTCGGGCTGAGAGCGTGGTGGGAGATACTGCGACGGGTTTTGCCAATATTGCGAAGCGCGATGGTCTTGATACGTGTTCGTTGAAAGGCCAAAGGGTTGTGTTGCGGTGGTGGTGGTGGGCAGAGGTTGGAGGTGTGGTTGCGACTGCGCTTGTAAGTGGTGGTGGTGGTGTTGCGGAGAAAAAAGTGTTTGCTGTGATAGCGGTTTGGGGCCTGGTACTTGAAGGGCTTCGGCATGGGTCTGCAAGTGTTGGTGGGTGGGGCCGGCGGAGCTATATAAAGATGAAAGGTCTGGAGACCTGGGTGCGTAGCTCGAGGCGCCAATGCCCGACATGATTTGGCTGATTGTGATTGTGTGGTTGCGTTCGTTCGAATAAAGCACAAAAAAAAAAAAAAAAAAAAAAAAAAAAAAAGCCCTTAGACGACTGGCTGGGTAGCTTCTGTGAAGGGAACGTAGAGTGAATGGGAAAGTGAATCACACTGCCTTCGTGCCGTGCCGCCGTCCCTCGTCGCGACTTATAACAATGGAATGGGCACTTTGGTTGGTTCGTACCTCCCCTTCTGTCTTGCTCTTATTTTCGTACCCCGAGCGCCTTCCTCCCTTTGTTGTAAGTACCTTGCGAGTACTGGTGGGGCAGGAGAACCTCTTGGGTGTGGACGCCTTCACTCAATCCGAAGATGGAGCAAACAACAGCTGGTTGATAATGCCAACAAATCTTTGGCTGGATCTATAAAGCAGTCATCAAAAGTTAATCTCATGCCGTTGTTTGTGAACTCATGGATTTCGTGGCGGTAGGGTGGATCGAAACAATGGCGAAACCTCCACTTGAGAGGATTGGATGGGATGATCGACGGGAGCCTGAAGGGGGACTCGGAGTGTTTGGCTGACTGAGATGATGCGGGGCTATATGCAGCTTTGAAAGAACATGACCACTCTCCAGTTTTCCACATGGCATCGAAAATGCTGCAATGTAGTCAAGAAGATTTGAATGAGAAGAGCTAGGGCGATGAACGGACGGAAGAAGGCTTGTTCGTGGAAGCGAAGACCAGAGATGGCCTCACAGCGGGCATGTACCAGACAGACTAGAAAAGTGCATCGTGGTACAACCTCGTACGAGAACAACAGACAGGCATGTTAGGAGGAACTGGTAACTTGGGCTTCTTCTGACAAAGGATAGCAAGGCTGGTAGATAGAGTCTTTGCCGTCCGTTGTGCTGCCCTGCTGTCTGGAGGTCGCAACATAACCACGAGCGAGAATGGGCCCAGTCCCGTCGTTGAAGGTGGAGAGCATCCACGAGCTCTCGGCCCTTTCAGGTACCAGTCCGGTACATCGAACCGCAGCGGGTACCTCTTGGTAGACTTGGGAACGGATGGGGGCAAAGGGGGAGTGAGCGGGGTAAAAGTCGACTCGTAGAGTGTGGTGTAGGTGATGACGACAAAAACACTGGTAATAGACCGGAAGATGAAAGAGAGAATGGGGATGCTGACCGTATGAAGCGAAAATCGAATCCGTGTTGTCGGATGACTGGCAACACAGGCCGGTTATTCAAGGCTCGAGCTGAGGTATGTAAGTCTCAGGGTTGGAGGTTGGCAACTTGTAAGGTGAAGGGTTTGAGGTGAGGTGCTGTCAGCTGAAAGCGGAACTTCACTTGACCATGACGCTCTCTCTACGGCGGAGAGACCTGCCCGTTTATATGCACGCCATGGCCTGCTCCTGTCCTTGGCATGGTTGATTACAGGGGGCTTTATGGTTAGCTCATTCTAATCATTGATTGGTCAACATAAAGTGCTCTGTGGGTCGCACCGCCTCAAGCGCCTCTCAACTTCTCTAGCGTAAGTGTATAAGTACTGTGTACTAGTGCGGCGCACGATCTTCGATTTTCCAAGTTCACAACGAAAGTCTCGGTCACTCTTTCCAATCATCTGTGCGTTTTAGGCACAGGGAGTTCAGCTCCATTTCTGTTGCATCGCACGTCTTCCAGTCCTTTTTTTACTTTTCGTCAATTCCCGTCGCCCTCTTCGCCTTGACAACATCAAACCCAGCAACCCCAACCTTTTCCAGAGAGGTATACAGCTACACGACCCGGTTGTTCATGTATTATGAGGCTGGCACCCGGTCGTTTCTCATTTCAGCATTTGGGATTGGATGAGTTGATCATGGACGCTGCCTTTCACTACAATGAACGGATCTGTAACCTCGCTTCGACATCACGCGATTCATAAAGGGCATCATGACCAACTTCGCTTTGTTTACGGAGCTACTAGACTAAGTATGCAAAATGTAAGATCTCAGCAGCAGCACAATCTCGAACATGTCTGCACCGGCGCACATATGGGCTGAACACATGCCTCTCAGTTGCATGATGATACTCAAGAGCACCTTGATTTTCCAGAGACCAAGAACACGGCGTTGAAGAAACCGAGCCCGAACCAGGACTGAGGGGTCATCTTCGCCGCATGTCGATGACGGCAAACAAAAACTTGATCTAATCTGACAAATTAACATCTACTTGCCTTCACCTTGGTTTCGCCGCATCCGAAGTAGAGAGCCGTTTTCTAATCTCCATCGTTAGGCCATTCACCCCCTTCAACCTCTTTTCGCGGGCAGTTGAGAGGAACAGCGATGCCACCGGCCACGCGTGGATGCCGCCTGGCTCAACTTCGCTCCCAACCCGCAAGCCTGCTTCGTTGAGCCTCGCGATCAGATCATGTATCTCAGGTGAGAGTACCTCCTCCTCCCCGTATGTAATAAAGATACCATTCGACGGGCTTGCCCGCCTCCACCACGCCGCGTCATGGCAGCATCCCGGTGATACCAGCGGATCACTCCACTTGATTTTGTTGCCGGCGAACTGCTTTCCGTACGTACTCAGCTGCTCGGCGTTTAGATAATCGCTTGTCGTGTTGGTGTGTCGTGAGGATACAAGAGTCGTCCATGGTGAGATCAAGACGGCCAGACCTGGCATTGGCAGGCCCACTCCATACCTCTTTGCGCTGGCGTCCTTGCAGCTGAGATGCAGCAAGAGGCTCAAAATTAGTGTTGCGCCTGCTGAGTCACCGCTGACGCATACGATGGCTGGGTCGCGTGCCACCTTGAGAACGTATCTGTATCCCTCGATCGCCTCTTGGATTTGAGTAGGGTATGAAGCATCAGGAACGAGCGTATAGTCCAGCGCGAAGATGGCGGGGTTCTTAAACCCGGACGAAGACAACAACGATGCCCAGCTCAGAAGAAACTCAAGGTAGAAGTAGGCCGAGCCCATTGAGAAACCGCCACCTATCCATAAATCAGCCAAGTGTATTCTATATAGACCCGAAAGATTGTTCGGCTTACCGTGGGCATAATACAAAACAAAGTCCGGCGTCGCCAGCGGATCTTTTATGACCCATATGCCTCTAAAATTCGCCTATTCTCCCTCGTCAGCGCAATCCACGACCTCATCAAACAGCATCGCACTTACGGTGACATGTTCCCTCCAATGCATAGGACTCCTCAAATACCCATGTCTTAACATGCGGAACTTCAAAAACGGCAGCGCCACCCGCTTGGAGAAAAACACCCGTCCAATCTTCGGCGGGATATTCGCAAAGGCGTACCGCACACATCTGATGACAAAGTCCTCAAACGGCGACGCCATCCGAACAAACGGTGACTTGTCAGAAGAGCTGAGCCATCTTTCATAGATGAACTGGATAGGGATTTTGCACACTGCGTAGCCACATCCGCTGTTAGCAGCTTAACACACACCCAGATTACTGACAATTCACTGTTCGTTATACGTGTAAGAAAGGCAAAAGGTGGAGAACGTACAAACAAACGGGAGCGCTTCCAGCATGCACTTGATGGTCGGTAGCAGACCGACATTCCAAATAAGCTGTGGAGCAAGGAAGATGCAAAAGACGATACAGTCGAGGTAGGATACTGGTCCGAGGATCATGCCGCCGCCGCCGTTGTCGCGAGTCCGGCGGTGCCCGGGCATGCCGTGGACGAGACGCCCGATTAGGTTGCGGATTCCTCCAAAAGTGGTGCGCTACACAGTGATCGGTTAGCACATCGTAATTCATCCCTTGCAAAATGTGACTAGAGAACTTACCAACATCTCAGCAATAACTTTTTTCTATCACATTGTTGTTTGGATCAAAATTGTGAGTAGAGGAGTAAGGTCGGGTTCGGTGGTGGCGGGCGCGTTTGAAAATGAGGTGACGTCGAAGATAATCAGGCTACCTAGTATAGTCGTCGGTACCTTCCACTTCTCCCAAGTGCTTGGCGATCCCCAAGTGGTCGTTTGTCGTTTCGGTTCTTCTAGATGATCGAGATGATATCTGATAGGAAAGTGCGGCCTGCAGCATACGATTACGTAGCCAACACTAACAGTTTGTATCGGGGAAGTAACCACCGTGTTAGGTCGTCCGTTCCAGTCAGGTAGGTAGTCTTTCAGAACTCTGCTCCCAAGAACCGGGAAATTATCTCTGACCTCTTCGAGATCATGATCAGAAGGCTTCCTTGTCAGAACGTCCTCCTGCAGTTATAGGTATTGTTAGGTATCCAACGCTTTTTGGTAAGGATAATTTGTGACCTCTGTTTTACTTTTGGCCATTCCAGTACCAGCAGCGTTCAGTCGTTAGCGTTAGATTCAGGGGTAATGTAAACAAAAGCAGCCACTTTAGCCCCGGGAGCTCGGCTAGGGATGTTTGGTATATGATGATCATCACAACCACTCTTCTCTGGCAAGTGAAGAACAGAAGCATAGAGTTATTGGACGCCTTCGAGCTGAGTCCAAGTATAAATGCCTATTCTTCTAGAGGTAATGGATATTTTGACAAGATCTAAAGGATCGTGCAAAGTGAAGAGCGCAATCCGAGTCCTCTACAACCTCTAGAACCTCTTGTCTAAGCCATTTTCATCTCACAGTTACAGACGACAGATTTCGGCCATCCCACCCCATCTAAACCATCAGTACCATACTTAGTATACCCCCCTTACTTATTCCTCGCCACCTCCAAAACCTTCCCTTCCATCTCCCCAAACGCCCCCAACACATTCCCATACCCTTCAAACACCCCCCTCTTGTATCCCTCATCCACCTTCCGTATCGCCCCTTCCTCCTTCCACCTCTTGCCAATCAGCTCATCAAACGTCTCCGTCTCATCCTTCCTCTCAAACGCCCAAACGGCTTTATACGCTCCTCCCAGTGCACACGCATTACCGCCCACGTCGAGCTTGTACACCCCGTCCACGCCGCCTAGCACGTCGCCCATGATGCGCGCAATGGCCGGGTTCAGAGAGCCGCCTCCGACGAGATAGATGCGGCGGGGTTGGGCCGGTAGTGTCGAAGAAGAGGACGACGACGACGTTCCGGAGGGAGTGGAAGGGGGCGTGGAAACAAGGTTCTGAGAGCGCAGACGCATGGAAAGGGCTTGCGACTCGACGATGATGCGCGCATCCTTTTCCACGGGCCAAGGCTGGCTGACTGGTTGGAGATCGGAGCCGTCGGTGGCGGAGCACTCGTACCGCCACGTACCGGCCGAGATGTTGGGGACGATTTCGGGGAGGTAGAAGTAAAGGCCCAGTTTGGCTTTGTCGGTTTCTGGTGAGGAGACGTCCAACGGAGGGGTGGAGAGGGCGTGTTGGTTGAAGGTCTCCCAGGGGTCTGCGGAGCTGTTGGATGGAGCGGGAAGAGAGTCCCGGACCTTCTCGCGGGCCAGACCGCCGTTCTTGTAGCAGAGCATGAACATGTACTGGCCCGGGGTGGTCGGATGGTTGAAGAGGTGGTAAGATGGGTCAGGCTTGTAGACGGGCGTGATCATCAGGAAAGTGGTGGAGGTTCCTAGCGACACAATAGCGTCGAGCGGGCGGAGCGGGAGGGCGAGGATCGTGGCCGGGTTGTCGCCAGTGAAGGGCGCGATCTCGCAGTCCGGGGAGAAGCCGTACTTGCCAACGAAGTAAGGACTGATCTTGCCCATGCTGCCGCCGCCGTCGAGACGGACTTTGCCTAGCTTGGCCTTGAGGTCGGCGGCGCCTTCGGCAGAGCCACCGGCGGCCAGGGCGAGGAGAGTCTCGGACCAAGTGTTGCTGGGAATGTCCCAGAGATTCATGCCGCAGACGTCGGAGATGTCCATGGGCGCCACGGAGCCGATGAAGAGAGAGGCGAGGAAGGAAGAGACAAGGGAGATGCGCGAGGTGGAGGCGTACATGCCGGGGAGCTTGCGGCGGAGGCGCATTATTTGAGGGCCAGTGAAGCGCTTGTGTGGTGCTCTTGTCAGTCTTTCCGGTCGGTCCATTGGTCTGTTTACCTTCATCTCAAAAATTGAGAGAACGGGGAAGTAAACAACTCACATGATGTGCCGCACTTCCCGTAGCGTGGGCCAACCTCTCCGCTGTCCCAAGAGCCTCATCAAACTTATCACACTCAGCCTGCGTGCTGTGGTCCTGCCAGTTGGGCGCATAAGGATGGGAGAAGGCTCCCTTCAACTGATCCACCAAATCCCCCCTCTGCTTATCCGCTTGTAGCTCTGCGAGAAGCTTTTCAGCCTCTCGGCTCCAGTATACACTGCCATGTTGCTGGCAAGAGCCACTGATACCGCGGATGCGGTTGAGAGGGGTCTTGGCCTCCTGAAGGCGTTGGAGGACGAGGTCGAGG